CAGGTAACGGCGATTCCGGCCCATCCCGGTCCCGCCAGAGCCCCCCGGGACCCCCTGATCCCCCTCCGTGCCCCCGCAGGCGGCCGCGGGCTCCGCCAACCTGCTGAGGATGATGTACCAGGAGCCAGCCCGCTGGTCCTACACCTTCCAGACCTTCTCCTGCATCAGCCGGCTGAAGGCGATGCTGGAGGCGCCGGAGCAGGAGCCCCCCGAGACCCCCCACCCCGTGAGGGTCTTTGAGCGCTCTGTGTTCAGTGACAGGTACCCAGCACCCCGAAAAGAGGGGCCGAGGGGTCGCACGGGGCTGGGAGCTGGGTTTGTGGTGTTGGTCCTGGGGGTGAGCAGAGCCTCTGTCCCCAGCGATGATGTCCCCAGAGCTCTGTCCCCAGCGATGATGTCCCCAGAGCTCTGTCCCCAGCGGTGATGTCCCCAGAGCCTCTGTCCCCAGCGGTGATGTCCCCAGAGCTCTGTCCCCAGTGGTGATGTCCCCAGAGCTCTGTCCCCAGTGATGATGTCCCCAGAGCGATGCTGAATTGCAGGAATGGGATTTTGGGGGTCGTTTGGGGGCTGCCCCATCCTCAGCTGTGTCCCTGAAGCCCTTGGGGTGATGCCGGGCTCGAATCAGGGATTTTCACCTTGATTTAACCACCCGCAGCTCCTCAGCAGTGCAAAAAAAATCCAAAAAAAAATAAATATCTGTGAAGCCACCTGAGCGAGGGGTGACAGAGCTGCCCGGTCCCCTCTGTGCGTCCCTCCCCAGGTACGTTTTTGCCAAGAACCTTTTCGAGGCCGGGCACCTGCAGCCCCTGGAATGGGCCATTTACCAGGACTGGCACGACTTTCTGCTGCGGCACCTGGGGCCCCGCGCCGCCCTCCACGGCTTCCTCTACCTGCAGGCCAGCCCCCAGGTGGGTGCAGGAGGCCTCCGGCTGCCCCTGGATCCCGGCGGAGTTGCCGAAATTTTGGGGTTTCACCGCAGGGTCTGCTGCTCCTGGCGTGGGAAGAGCGGGGGGGTTTTGCCGTGTGTTCCAGGGCGGCTTTTGGGGAGAAGGGGCTGCGGCATCTCCCGGGTTTGTGCTTCCCGTGCCGCCCACCCCTCATTTTCCTGCGTCCCGTTCTGCTGCCGTTGTCCCCCAGACGTGCCTGGAGCGGCTGCGGCGCCGGGCGAGGAGCGAGGAGGGGGGGATCCAGCTGAGTTACCTGCAGCAGCTCCACGAGCAGCACCGGCGCTGGCTGCTGGACCGGAGCACGGAGTGAGCGCCAGCCCGGCTTTGGGGAGCCCCCCCTGCTTTGGGGGTGCTTTTTTGGGGGTGGTTTTTTATTTGGGGAGGGGTCTCATCCCTCGCTGCCTCCCTCCCGCAGGGTTCGCTTTGAGGGTGCGCGGAGAGCGCCCGTCCTGGTGCTGGATGTGGACGAGGACTTCGAGCGGGACGTGGCGGTGCAGGGCGGGCTCATGGCACAGGTGGGGTGGCACAGCCCGGTGTCCCCCCGGTGCCATCCGGTGCCATCCGGTGTCCTCCCAGTGCCATCCGGTGCCATCCGATGTCCCCCCGGTGCCATCCGGTGTCCCCCCGGTGCCACCCCAGTGGCATCCCAGTGCATCCCAGTGCATCCCCCTCCCTCCCAGTGCATCCCAGTGCATTCCAGTGCCATCCCAGTGCATCCCAGTGCCATCCCAGTGTATCCCAATGCATCCCAGTGCCATCCTGGTGCCACCCCAGTGCATCCCAGTGCATCCCAGTGCATCCCAGTGTCACCCCGGTGCCACCCCAGTGCATCCCAGTGTCACCCCGGTGCCATCCCAGTGTATCCCAGTGCATCCCCCTCCATCCCCCTCCATCCCAGTGCATCCCAGTGCATCCCAGTGCCATCCTGGTGCCATCCCAGTGCATCCCAGTGCATCCCAGTGCATCCCAGTGTCACCCCGGTGTCACCCCGGTGCCACCCCAGTGCCACCCCTCAGCCAGGCTGTCCTTGCAGGTGGAGGCCTTTGTCACATCCCTGCGTGCCGAGGCTTTCCCGTCACATCCCGACCCTCTGGGAGCCGGGGAAGGGGCAGCGTCCGCCTGAGGAGCCCGACCCGAGGACAAGGGACACGTCCTGGTCCCCTCAGCCCGGCTGTCCGGGCCAGCGCTGGATTTGAGGAAGATTTTGGGGGGCAGGGGGGTGCTCCCCGTGCTCAGGGGACCGGGTCCTTGCCCTGACCCCCTCCCCATCTTTCGGGACCCCCAGCTGGGGACGCTCCCCGGGCTGGATTTCCTGCGCTGGTTGAATTCCCATGGAAAATCCCCGTTTTTAGGTGACGCCCAACCCCCGTGTTTTGTTATTTTGTATTTAATTTTTTTTCCCCTTTAAATTAAGATCAAATCGCTGCGGAGCTGTGTCTGGAGGGGCTGTGCGGGGTCGGGGCGGCTCTAGGGGGGACACGGGGGTACATTGCTCCCCCGGTTTTGGGGTGTTGTGGTGGAGG